ATTTTTGTGGAGTGTTCAGGAGACTTGTTCACTGTTTCATTCATGACTTTACCTCTTGCGATATGTTATAGTAAGCTACGAGACCTTCTTCTGTTTGAGATACGTGAGATGCGTGAATTGGAAGGGTATTTAAGCACGACCGTAGATTCCACGTTAGCTGCTTTTTCATTCTATTACCTTCGTTGATCGTTCCTAGAACAGCGAGTGACTCCTCTTTACGGAATGCGTAAATCGGATGGTTCATAGATTCTCGATTCATACGCTATTGTAAGAAAACACAAGGTGGCGAAGAAGCTAGTTTGCGATGATTTTTCTACAACCTAATACATCACAATTTGTATCAAATGTTTAGAAGAGGGGGGAAACCATGACAAGTTGGAAAAGAGATAATCAACATTTCAGTTCCATGACTGGAAGTTGCTCACAAATTGGTCCTCACACATGTGCACTGGTTCGGGTCATTAGGGGTGAGTGGGGAGATGGCTGTGTCATGTGTGGTGTTAGCCATGGAAGACCGAGTGTTTTTGCGAATTGTTATTGGGAGCATAGGGGGGGGGGATTATGTAGGTGGATTCCGATCGCTTCTGCTATGGCCAAAATGCAACTCCTAAAACTAATTAGAAGGATTCTGAGTCTTCTGGTAGCCAAGGCTGCACCCTATAACTTATGGCCCTGCAGGTAGTATGACGTTGTTGGTCCGTACCCTCACTCAAGTAGCGTTGGCTTGATTGCCCCTGTTGATCTAAACAATGCAGATTCTGAGCATTTACGAGTTAATCTAGCCCATCAAGGGTGCATATTGTGTTCATGAAATCGAAAGGGATTGAATGACTCGAGGTAGATTATATTCTGTTTTCTCCAGTCCAACATTCACGAGGTGGAACTTTATCCGTGCGACTAGCGAGCACCGTTTTGAATTTGATAATTCGTTAGTTTTCCTATAAAGCCATGTATACAGTGCGATTGATTCATCGTCTTGTCTCTCTCACCCGTGACCTTAGACAGTTAAATTCCCTCTGATCCTCTCTTCAACCTGATCCGATCATTTTCCGCGATTTGTGCCACTTGGACCCCCTCAACCTGGCACTAGATTCACAAGAAGCCAAACAGAAAATCCCTTAGGCGGATGAAGCATGATAGCATGATAAGCTGCTATTCTTGCAATGCAATTTTCGCAGTTCATAATCTCGCTACTTATTTTGATTTCAGTAGCAAAGATACAGATGGATAAAAATATTGGAGCTATGCAGCGTTCTCCAGTAGACATCCGACGCCCAATCATCATCAACAGATGAAAAGCGCCCTAAGCAGGATTGAGTGAGAAACAAGTTGAGACTATTTGAACATATCACACAAATGCATGCATGTGAGCGCAAAGTCATACCAATTTTGCGTTCTCGAACTGGGTCACCGATCCGTTTGAATCTCTCAGGTAGGTGTGCACATCAGTGGGGAGACGTGAGTTCAATTTGTGGAGCAGCCATGAGATAGATTTTCCATTCCCGAAACGAAAGAGAAAACCACACAACCGCCAAATTCGAAATAGGTTATTTTGTTTGGTTTTATTGTTTGTCAACACAGCAGGAATGGCAAAATTCTCAGTGATCTTGGAACGCTGGAGGATCCCGGAATTAAAATTTCGATGACTAATAATGATTAAAATCTTCGCCAGTGCATTACTAATGCCTCAAATCCACTACTAATCCTGCTTAAAACACATCACTGATGTATGAACCACTTTTTCCACCTTAAAAGTGACTATTTCGCCCGATTTTTCTCTATTTTTGTAATTATTTTTATAAAATTTTAATTTCCCAATTTTCGCTCCAAGAAAGATTAATCCTGCACCACCGGCCATGCTCGATCCTGATTGGGCCATTTCTCTGTAAACCACTACTTTCGAGCTAATTCACAAGGTCAATGATGGCCGGTCCCGAAACTGTATATAAACGCGTGAGCTGTCCGCTTTGACCGACCTTTTTGGTTGAGTCAAATACACAAGCTTGCCTGAAGGTCCTGTCTTCCTCTTCTGTCTGGTCGGGCTCTGAGG